TCTTTTTAAGACTCAATTCAGCTTTACCAAACAAAAGATCAAATAGCAAAAACAACTCTTTGAGATTAAACAAAAAACAGATACTGTAGACACTTATATTATCCGCTTTAAGAGATTACAAGCCAGAGTAGACCCTGCTAATGATTTTTCTGATGATTTTATCCTTCAACTTTTTATCCAAGGACTTAGACCTGAGTATACAATCAGAGTACAAGCCGAAGCCCCTGCTGATATCACTGCTACTATTATTGCTACCCGAAATTGGGAAAATAGCAAACTTATCTCTTCTTCTACTACAGATACAGACCAAGCAATCAAATAACTAACCGAACAGATTGTTTAGCTTAGCATAAACCTTACCCAACAAAAACCTGGTTCCATTAATTTCATTGAAAATTACTTTACTGACAACTTAATTCACCAACAATTAATTTACAGACAAGCTTATTTTACCAACAATTATTTCACAGACAAGTTCATTTCATAGACAGTTTGTTTTACCAACAGCTCATTTCACTGACAAAGTAATTCTGGTCATTATCGCTCGGGTCAGATTCAAAATTAGAGTTAAAGTTAGTGCATTTATAAAAAAAACTTGTCAGTGAAGTAAGCTATTGGTAAAATAAACAGTTAGTGAAATGAACTTGTCTGTGAATTAATTGTAAGTAAAATAAGCAGCAGCAGAGAGAGTGGTCAGACTTTTTTTTACACTTTTTACATCTTTTTTCACCAGTCATGATGATAAAAAATATAACACTATCATCAGTGTTGTGACGACAGAAATTCTTAAATATTTTTACACTATACAATTTTTGTTGTAGCCAAATTTTTATTTTAGTCGTTATAGATAGGATGCATGTAAAATTAGTGTAAAAAATGAGTGTATAATGATAAAAATTTGATTGAAATCAGGTATAAAATAGTGAAACATTTGTTATTTATTTAGTTTTCGAGTATAAAACCTTTTTTTTCATAAATTCGGAAAAAGAAAAATAATAGCCTAAATAATAACTATATATATTTAGCTAATTAGTGACTGCCCGGTAGAAAATAAATAATTTTAATTTAAACAAAAGATCTGTAAAAATAATATTTAATAAAAAATACACAAAATGATACCTCCATACCCTAATTGTAGAAAAAATAACTTTTTAAAAACCCGAGACCGAGATAAGCATTTGAATTCAAATCGAGCAAGACTATACTTACCTCGAAATTTACCTGTACTAATACAAAATATTATACCAGCTTCAACTTCAATACAAAATACACCATTATCTGAAAATCCGACTCCTATAGGCGATCTAATTTCATTTGATAAAAATATACCAACATACTATCCGAATATGTCAAATGTACCAGTAGTTGACTTTCTAACTAGTGATATTCCAGATTCAAAAATTTAATCTAACAGAGAACAAAAAGAGAAAACATTTTTAATAATAGATAAGCTAATAAAATAGTTAACAAAACCGGAAATAAAAAATAATAAAAAAATCAGATTAAAACCCATACCAAAAACAGAAAAAGAATGGTTCAATCTAATGGAATCAAATAATAACGAGCCTAGTAATCCAGATCCTTAAGCTTATCATTTCTAGATTTGAATATAGAAGTGCCTTGGCTAGTTTCATTTCCAGATAATAAAGAGCATCATGATGTATGGCAAAATAGCATTCAGTATGCAAAAGATATATTTAAAGTAGATGGAGCCGAATATGCATTCTCAACCTGGTTTAGAAAAATTAAAAAGCTAAATTTTGAGGCTAGAATGACTGAAGAGCGAGCACAAAGAATATTAAATACAATTGATAATTATGAGTATTTAATAAGAGTAAAATTTATTCGAGACAATACAGTAATATCGGTTGAGAAAACAAAAAAGGCTTTAAAATTATTGCCAAATATAAGTCTATTTGTAAATCAAAAAAGGCAGGTAGAAAATACGTCGGGGTGATCCAAATATTATATTTACAAAGAAAACAAAACCAGGATTTTGGGTAGGAATAGATAAAAAATTTTTGATTAGAGAAGTCAGTGAGCAATCTGAGGTAGGGAAGCTTGACAGTAATGCAGTAGTATATGAATTATATCGAATCCGAAAACCAGGTATCAATCGATTAATACTTATGAAAGATAGTGCACTTAACTGTATAGCTCAATGAGTAATAGAGCATTTTGATAACACTAAGCGAGGGCATGGACTCACAGAAATTCATCGGCAAAAAATAAATGATTGGGAGAAAAAAATACGTATTCCAGGTGCTCGAATACAAGATATAGCAGAGTTAGAAAAAATTCTCAAGTGACCAATTACATTACTGGATATTACATATGGTACTATTTTTAATAGCAAAAAATATCGATCAGGTAAGTATAAAGAAATAGAAATGGTAGTTCATAATAGACATACATTCTCTCGAAACCATCATTTTCCAAAGGATCGAATGGTTAAATATTATAAAGACAATACTTGGAAAGCTATTCAATAATGCTCTTCAAGATCCTCAAGAAATCTGGCTTATGGGAGTAGGAGATGAAAACCAAAGAGTTTCTCAATTTGTTTTAGAAGACGGCTGTGCATTTAGAACATGGATAAAGCATACAGATATTATAAAAGCATGTAAGAAATTATTTGAAGACGCGGTAAACTAGCAATTTCATGAAAATATAATTAATGAAGAAAAAAAATCGATTTTTTAAAGTCTCTTAAAGTAGTTGACTTAGCAAAGCAAGTATTTGGTGCAAACCATGCTAGAAGTCGACTTGTCAATAAAATCAATGAATGGTGTCCAATATCTGAAAAAATAAATGATATTATAAGACAGGCTTGTGTCGAGCATAGGCATGGTGGACGCTGGAATGCATCCAATTATCACATTAATGATGTTGTATGTATCGACATGAAATCATGCTATCCAGCAAGTATGCAAGGCCAAGGAGAATGTGCACTATAGTTTAAGGATAGGGTATTTGTTTACTATTTGTTTGCGCATAGTATGAAAATAAACCAATCAAAATTTAATGATCTGCAAAATTAACCAATTATAATTGTATATTTGGTTGTACATGCATATTTATTTGTGTATTGTATGAAAAAATATGTAAACAAATACCCTACCCTTAATCGATTTGAATATCTAACACATTATCTTGTCCGAGTAGCAGTAAATAGAAAATTACCAAAAGATGATATTACTAGATTTGCACAGGTAAGATCCTTTAAGTTTGCTTCTAATATACATTCAGTAATTCTAGTCTGGTATAGAAAATATTTTGCATGTCGAAATAGGGAAGGGTGTGTAAAAAGTAAAGGATGGGCTCCAATAGTATTGTTACAATATCTTTTTGAGACAGGAATTCTAGAAGACTTAACTATTAGAGAAGTAATCATTTCTCTTACTCAGCAGACTAAAGTATGGTTATCAGAAAATCAAGACATTAGTTGTGCAATTATAGGTAAGTTTATACAAGGTGGCAAGATTGATGAAAAACATCTTATTTATCAACTTGTAACAGATGAAAGTGAGCTTGATTTCTTGATTAAAGATTGTACTGATGCTGGAACTTTTGCCGGAAGAGAAAAATGTCCACTCAGATTCATACTTACATATTACGAGGGACATCAACCTCAATATACATATTTGCGAGCCTCAATGTTAACATATGCACATATTAATTTGTTAGAGATGCTTCAGAGATTTGATCCTAATGAAGTAGTAAGAATTGCTACAGATTCTATATATGTA